ACATTCTGTGTTTACCCAGGAGGCATCTGGGGATCATCACAACATAAAAACGGCGCGTCACAGTACAAAGGTGCTTCACGGGGAATTCAGCGGCTGGTTTTTTGGGATCAGATTGCTAAATCTTTCCTCCAAGCCACCTCTGGGGGGGCTCGAACTCCCGACCTTTCACTAGCAGCAGAGTGCGTGAGGCGTTTGAATCACCTGGGCTCTCCTAAAGTGATGTACGAGGGGGCTTCAACCAGTTGGTGGAAAGCCCCCATTACCTTGTAAGAGTCCATGACCTCGTCTTCCCTGCCCTGAAACACACACTTCCTTCGTCCAGATCTGTCCCCCCACTTTGAGGTGAGGCAGGACTGGCTGCGGAGAAATCTGATCAGTGAAGTGAAATGAGTGAGTGGGGCCACCTGAGGCACACGTGGGAATAGGGGGGACACAGAAAAGTGGGGCACCCCTATCTGCTTGGAGGTTACAGCAAGGACCCCACTTTATGCGGTCATGGCCACACAGGATTGTGAACCCCATTTCATCAGAGCGTCTGAATTTTCAGGAGGAAACAGACATCCAGGTTTTTTGTTTTTAGGCAAAATCTTTAAATGTTGGTTCAAAATGTGTTTGCATGGTGAAACGGAAAACTAATACGCTCTCTGAACAGTCACTCAAACCACAATTGAAATTGAACAAAAAAGAAGAGGAAAAATGCTGGTTTTGTCGCCCTCTATGATATAACCTGCTTTGTTTTCCTTAAAGAAACACTAGACAGTCTGAACATTAGCAGTTCTGGTGGCACAGTGGGTTAAGCATTCGGCTTCTAGTTGCAAGGTCAGAGGTTCAAGCCCACCAGCTGTTCTACGGGAGACAGAAGTAGCTATCTAGTGTCGTAAAGCTTTACCTGCTGGCCACTTCTGCTCTGCCCTCCTGAGGGTTGCTACAGGCTGGAATCAATGGGACAGCAGCGTGTATCTGACACACAGTTTAGTTCCTCTGCGGCTACCCCCCCGCCCGATGGAGACCCCAGGTTTCAGAGCAGGAACAGTGGAAGCCACATTTACTGTTCCATCTCTGCTGCTTAAAACCATGCCTGGTACACAGTCTTTGTTTTTTTTTTTGACTCATGGCGCCTCTGTGTCAGAGTAGGACGGTGCCCCACAGGGTTCTCAGTGGATGATTTTTCATAAGTAGATCCCACTCATGGTGTCCCCATGTGTGTCAGAGTAGAACTGTGCCCCACAGGGTTCTCAGTGGATGATTTTTCATAAGTAGATCCCCCTCATGGCGCCCCCATGTGTGTCAGAGTAGAACTGTGCCCACGGGGTTCTCAGTGGATGATTTTTCATAAGTAGATCCCACTCATGGCGCCCCCTTGTGTGTCAGAGTAGAACTGTGCCCACAGGGTTCTCAGTGGATGATTTTTCTTAAGTAGATCCCCCTCATGGCGCCTCCATGTGTGTCAGAGTAGAACTGTGCCCACAGGGTTCTCAGTGGATGATTTTTCATAAGTAGATTCCACTCATGGTACCCCATGTGTGTCAGAGTAGAACTGTGCCCACAGGGTTCTCAGTGGATGATTTTTCATAAGTAGATCCCACTCATGGCGCCCCCGTGTGTGTCAGAGTAGAACTGTGCGCACAGGGTTCTCAGTGGATGATTTTTCATAAGTAGATTCCACTCATGGTGCCCTGTGTGTATCAGAGTAGAACTGTGCCCACAGGGTTCTCAGTGGATGATGTTTCATAAGTAGATCCCACTCATGGTGCCCCATGTGTGTCAAAGTAGAACTGTGTGCACAGGGTTCTCAGTGGATGATTTTTCATAAGTAGATCCCACTCATGGTGCCCCGTGTGTCACAGCAGAACTGTGCCCACGGGGTTCTCAGTGGATGATTTTTCATAAGTAGATCCCATTCATGGTACTCCCGTATGTGTATGAGTAGAACTGTGCCCAACAGGGTTCTCAGTGGAGGATTCTTTGGAAGTAGATTACCAGGCTTTTCTCCCACAATGCCTCTGGGTGAACTTGAACCTCCAACCCTTTAGTTAGCAGTAGAGCCTGCTCACCATTGCAAGACCCACAATACATCAAACCCCAAACCAAACCACTGCTGTCTAGTCAATTCAAAGTCACAGGGACCCTGCAGGACAGAGGGGAAGTGCCTCACAGGGGTTCCAAGGCTGTGCTTTTTATGGAAGGAGATTGCCTCTCTTTCTCCCATAGAGCAGCGGGTGAGCTCAAACTGCTGGCCTTTTGCTTAGCCACCAAGTTCTTAACCCAGGCGCTATGGCTGTTAAATGCCATTGAGTTGGTTCTAATTCGTAGCAACCCTGTATATATAGGGTTTCCAAAGAGAGGCTGGTGGGTTTGAACCCCTGACAAGTAGCCTTCAGTACTATACCAGAACTCCAGGGTGCGTAGGCGGTGTTGAATAAATGCAGAAAGATGAAATGTTCTGCTCCTGTAAAGATGTAGTCTCAGAAACCCTCAGGACAGCTGCACTCTGTCCTACAGGGTCACTGTGAGTCACAAGAGACTCTACAACCGTGGGCTTGGGGTTTGGTTACATGGATTACCAGTTACTGGACTTCATTTGCACAAATATGACGAATCCACACAACTTTTCTTTCAATTCAGTTGTTTGGAGGTTGCATGTGATTCTCCAGGTGTTGAGGCTAGAATTTCTGACCTGTTCCCATCACCCTAGAGGCAGGAAACACCGGAGAGTACATGCAGGGAGCTCCGGGAAGGTGTGCTCTGCCCCTGGTGGGCTGCTGCAGTCAGCACGCTCCCCACTGTCTGTCAACAGGCCTTTAGCGAGAACTGCGCACGTGATTTATTTGTAAATCCTCTCGGGTCCTGAAGGAGAGGTACTTAGTGCACACCACGCTTTGTCAACATGTGTCGGCTTCCCCTCCACGCGGATGGCCGCATTACACGAAGCAAGGTGTAATTGGATTGTGCTGGGACCCTTAAATCTGCATTTTCATTTACTAAGCGCCAAGGTGCTCAGAGAGCCATTTGCAAAGGATGCCAACCCCTCAGAGGGTCAGCGTGTGCACAAAGACAAAGGACAGTCATAAAGCGGCTGAATGCAAACTTTATATTTACAGTCAGTGTGTGTATAAATATATATTACATTTTTACAGTCTGCAATACACTCTACATAGTGATGCATTCTGGAGCGGGCATCGGCCGCCACACTAAAAGGGCCATCACGTGGATAAGAACAGAAAGGGGTAGGAGGAGGCTTTCGGAAGCAAAGGGTTAATCCTTGGAGAAGGTCACCAGTTAGTCACCCAACCAAATGTCCTGAGCTGGGACAGGTGTTAGTCCCAGCCTCAAAGCAAACTGTTGGAAGAAGTGTTGAGGCTTACAGGGTAAACACGGGATTGGCACCATTATCTGAGCAGGATAGGATTGTATGCACAGGGAAGGAGGGAAGAGAGAGATGGGAAGAGACAGAGACAGAACATAAGAGAGGATAAGAGACAGACAATGTGCGAGGAAACAAGCAGAAAGAATGAGAGAATGGGAGAAGGAATGAGACAGAGAGAATTAGAGAAAGGAAGAATGGGAAGAGGAGGTTCAGAGACACACAAAGAGGCACACAGAGGATGAGAGAGGTACTGAGGAAGAGAGAGATGGGAGAAGATCTAAAGAGATAGAGGAAGACAGAGAATGTGTCTCTGGCAAGGATTTCCTCCTTCCTATGCCCCCTTAGAGTGAGTGAGATGGGGCAGGGTCCCTTCAGCACTCCTTCACCTCAGTTTCTGAAAGTGTCTCATGGGGACTTCGGGAATGCTGGAGAGCAGTGTTGGTTCGTAACCATGCTACATCCCTCGGGGCTGACGTTGGAACAGGGCTGTCATGGCTGCCTCTCCACCACTCATGTTGGAACCTCCTGAAACACCATCCCTTCCATTCTGCTCATGCTGTGGAGGACAGGGTGCTACCTGCCCAGTCCCACCTGGTCTACACCAGCATCCCAGCATTCCAGCCATCCTCACGCTGCATGTGTACACCAGGTAGGTGTCCACGAACCCTCCCACAGTTGGATGGGAGATGCAATGCAATCAGGGACAGACCTGTGACAGACTGCCTCTCTAGTTTCTCAGAAGTCAATGCGAATGAGAACATCCCTTGGTGTTGGGTTTTAATGTGCAGAAAAGGGCACAGCGTGGAGAATGCCAGTGTGAACACCAAAGTGACTTCTCTGCACATTGGGGAAAAGAGAGACTGACCATGCGGGGGCTGCCCCCTGCCCACCCTGACAAAAGGTCAACAATTCTTGGGGTGACAAAACAGAGAAATACAAATTTAGACGGAAGAATTCATCCACGCGAGCTTGCTAAAAAGAGCCGTGTTCTTTGAACCTGGTTGGTATTCCTAGTTTACAGATAGAGAAATGTTCTGAACCACTCTGAGGATTTTCGTGTTTGTTCTTGGCATCTAGGGACAGAGCTCGGTGACCTAATTACCCATGTGTTCCCTTTTAATCCTGTGAGCGTTGTCTGGGTCTGATCACCAGGCTGGCTTTGACCCAGGCAGATGCTGACTCACAACAGTGCCTTCTTAACAGCTGACAGTGGTTCTACTCCCAGCCTCTGATCACAGCAGGGGTGACACACAGTCTCCCATCAGCCCCTGTAGACTCAGCCCGGGCCTTGATCTCTTGTAGTCTGCAGCACTGAATACTGGAGCCATGTGGATCATACAATCCCCAAATTGCTTTGATTAAAGAGAGACTGTTATTCCCAGGAGCCTCCCGGGAGCTCAGGGATTCAGAACTCCATCGGGTTCCACATTTCAACAATCTAGCCACAGACGATGAGACTCTTTCACTCGAAGTGAAATGCTGTGTGTGGCATGGATACGTCGGTACTGACTCGAGAGTCAGGGCAGTGTTCTGGGGCCTCTGGCGACAGGACCACCCTTGCCCTGTCCTGCCATTTCCTGTAGCCACCCATGCACCCCCCAAATTAAAGGCCGAGAGGTGAGTGGGAACAAGGTTAAACACCCTCATGTAACCGTTCCATGTAGTTGTGTAGTTCTGAGCATTCTCCGGGGTCCAGGTCCTGGCAGATCCACTTAATATCGTCCTCACTGCTCATCACCAGCGAGTTCACTGTGGGGTAGCCATCCTCCGCAGAGATGGTGGTGAAGGTGGTGAATTTCACTCGTTTCCGTTTGGAGGTAGGGGAGGCTGGGGGCTCGCTCTTCTGGTCAGTGGCCGTGAGTCCTGATGGTCTGAACAGCTGGCCATTGCTGCTCTTCTGAGCGCTTGTGCTGAGGAGGTACTTGCTCTCCTCACAGTCTCTGTCGATGGCTGTCATCTGCTCTTCTGGTGAGGAGAAATTGATGGGGTTCTCCAGCAGCTCTGCCTGGTTGCTCAGCCCTACCCAGTCATGGGAACGGCTCATCCCTTCCTGCTCCTCAAAAGGAACCTGTTTGTGCCTGTACTTCAGCGCGAAGGCCACACAGTTTATAAGGAAGACCAAGATGGCCAGGCAGAAGACACCCAGAAGAGCATACATTCCGATCTCCAAGTCACTCAGCCCCTTGGACGTCTGCATGAGGTCACTCTCGTCCATGTCCCCATTGCTTCTGGGCACGTCCACCTGGGCTGGGAAGCTGGTAAGGTCCACGGGGATGGTTTGGAAGTGGCTGTCACCATCTAAGAGGCTCTCCTGGGCATCTTTCCTCTGGAAGGTTGACCTCTCTGTGGTGCTCCCCCTTCCTTCCATGAGGCCCAAGGAGGAACTGCCATAGTATTGTCCCTCTTGGTCAATCCATCCTTGAAGGGGGTTCCTGGGTCTCTTGTAGCCGACATGATTCTCCAGCTGAACTCCTACCCCTGAATGTCTGCTGTCATTGGTGTTGGGGTTTGCGTCATTTTGGCCGAACTTCACTTGGACGTTGGTGCTCCCGATGGCCAGCACACTCTTCCTCTTGGATTTCTGGCATGACTCGCTGATGACCATTTCGACCTTCACCAGTACCCCCTGCCCTTCTGTTTCAGCAGCAATTATAGGCCACTTGAATTTGGGGTCTTGGTGGATAGATACCACCTTCTCATCCAGGGATGTGGCCATGAGGGAGAAGTCTTTCCCATCATAAATATCCAAGGGTGTGACAGACCCATCACTGAACTGGACCCAGCAACTGATGGCCGCTTCCTGTTGGATAAAATAAGTAAGTTAATACAAAAGGACAGATATTTCACTGAGCACCGAGTCTTAAGTGGAAGAACCAAGAAAAGTCGTTTTAAGCAGCCTAGACACAGGAGATAAGAAGTAAGGTACCTGTGTATCTGAGGTCATCTGATTTTCAACAAGGGCACTACATCTACCCAATGGGGGATGAAGAGTCTCTTCAACAGATGGTGCTAGGACACCTGGATGCCCACAAGCAAAAGGATGAACTTGGGCCTCTACTTCACACCATATAGGAAAACTAACTCAACATGGGTCAATGAACTGAAGCCAAATCCATAAAACTCCTAGATGAGAACACAGTGGGAAGATCTTGAGGTAAGTCCGAACTTTCAATGATGGGTTCTTAGCGATGACAACAAAAGACAAAATAGACAGATTTAAAAACACTTTTGTTCATCAGAGGACTTTCCCACGAAAGTCAAAAGACAACCTATGAATTGGGAGAACATTATTGGAAGCCATTCATCAGATAAAGGCTTAATATCCGTACTACATAACGAATTCTTAACACTTAACAACAAAAAGGCAAACAACCCCATTGAAAAATGGTTAGGGGACTTGAAAAGACATTTTACAAAAGAGGATAGCTGCAAATGACATGAAAAGATGTTCAATGGCATTAGTCACTGGGAAGATGCAGATCAACAGCACAACGAAATACTATCTTACCCCCAACTAGAATGGCAATAAATACAACCAAACAGAAATCCCAAGTGTTGGTGAGGATGTGCAGAAACTGGAACAGTCATCTGGTGCTGGTGGGAATGTACTGTTTGGCGGTTCCTTGAAAAATTGAACATAGAATGATCATGTGACCCAGCATTCCCAACTCTAGGTCTACACCCAGAGAAGTGAAGGTAGGGATGAAAGGAGAAGACTGTTTGCCAGTTCTCATTCCACCATGGCTCATCAAGTGTGGAAACCACCAAGATGCCCATCCACAGATGAATGGGGAAACACAATGTGGGGTTCATCAATACAAGGGAATACTATTCAGTGATCAAGAGAAATGATGTGTGGATGCTCACACAACGTGGGTGAACCTTGAGAATATCATGCTGCGTGAAAGAAGTCAAACCACAAACTCACAAATGCTGTATGATCCTGTTTACACAGTATTGTTGCTGTTGTTAAGCTCTGTTGAGTCAGTTCTAACTCACAGTGACCCTATATAGGATTTTCAAGGAGCAGCTGAGCTGGTGGGTTTGAACTGCTGAGCTTGTGGTTTGAAGTCCAGTGCTTACCCTACAGTATCATACCAGGAGACCAATATGTTGTTGTTAGGTGTTGTCGAGTCGGAACAGACTCACAGCTACCTTGTATAGGGTTTCCAAGGAGCAGCTAGTGAGTTTGAACCCCCAACCTTGCAGTTCAAACCGACCTTGTGGTCCAGTACTTATCCTACAGTGCCACACCAGGACTCAAGAGTCCAATATAAATAAGCATAAAGAGTTCAAGTATAATGTTTATTAGTGTTTACCAGAGTGGGAGGGAGAGGGTAAGTGGGGAGCCAATTCTTTCTTTCTTTTCATACACATTTTGTCTCATTGCACTGATTGTAATCCCCACAATGTAACATCACAGATCCCACTTCCGCCCCGTGTTTCTTGTTTCCATTCCTCCTTCTTTCCTCATCCTTCTGAACTTTGTCCCCGGGTAAATGGTGCCCTTTTTATTGTGAATGGTTGATTATTCTAAGGTGTGAGCACCTCTTAAGTGAGTACTTCTCCCTTCTAGACCTGTCTATTGTTTGGCTGAAAACTGAGCCATGGGGGTGAGTTCATTTCCAGACCTACGGGTGACTAAGGCCATAGTCTTGGGTGTTCTACCACTCTCTGTCTGACAAGTAAGCCTGGTTGTTTTGTTCTCCTTTCTTCTCCCACTCTATCCAGTATCTTCTAACGTGACCCCTTCTGAGTAGCTGCTAGTGGTAGCTGGGCACCATCTAGTTCCTCTTGTCTCAGGATTGTGGAGACTGATGCCGATGTGGTACAACTGTCCATTGGACTAACTGTTTCCATGTGTCTTCAATTTTATTCACTCGTTTCCTCTAGACAGGGAGAAACCAATAGTTGCATCTTAGCTGGCATGTGACGAGCTTTTAAGAGCCTAGTTGATACTCCCCAAATAGGATGAAGAACATTACCTTTGTGGACTATGCTATGCCAGTTGACCTTAATGTTCCCTGAAGCTAGGATCGTGAGCTTCCAGGTCTAGTGACTCATTCCTTCAATGTGTTTGGTTATCTCTAAGAAAGCTTCAGAACTATGCCCTCTGTATACTTGGCAAGCCGTTTCTTAGGGGCAATGCACTTGTGCTAAGGGCCATGGGATAATTTGTAAAAGTTATTGGTAATGATTGTATAACAAGATGAACATAATTAGTGATGCTGGATTATATATGCAAAACTGATCCAATTGGCAAATGTTTTACTATATATATATATGTATTTATGGAGGAGTCCTGGTGTGGTGCTGTGGGTTAACGCATTGGACTGCAAGGTCAGTTTGAACCTCAGAGTCGGCAGTTCAAGTTCACCAGCTGCTCCTCGGAAATTCTATTCAGTGTCACTATGGGTCAGAACTGACTCGATGGTACTTA